AAAGCTTTTCCTCCAGGAGTGCCCGCTCTTTCTCCGGCAGTGTACACCTACATCCAGAGCCGGTTCTACCGATCCCCGGAGGTCATTCTCGGCCACCCCTACAACATGGCCATTGACATGTGGAGTCTGGGCTGCATCATGGCCGAGCTATACACCGGCTTCCCTCTCTTCCCTGGGGAGAATGAGGTGGAGCAGTTGGCCTGCATCATGGAGGTGAGGGGGCGCGCCTGGCTGCAGGGGATTGGGGTGCAGCTGGCTGGGTGGATCCCTCTCAAGTCAGGCTGCAGCGGACTCACTGGAGGTCAGAGCCCTGCTCACTTGCTGGATGGTCCTTAAAATGTTTTCTAAATTGGCCCTCCCTGGTAGCACAGTGGGTTAGGACACAGCACTGCAAGCAAGCTGCAGCCGCTTCAGTGAGCGTTTGTTCCCTAGTCCGGGAGGTGACCCACAGGGCACGGTAGACCTTATATATGTGTGTGTGTGTATATATATATATATATATATACATATATATATATATATATATATATGTATATATATATATATATATATACACACACACACATATATAAGGTCTACCGTGCCCTGTGGGTCACCTCCCGGACTAGGGAACAAACGCTCACTGAAGCGGCTGCAGCTTGCTTGCAGTGCTGTGTCCTAACCCACTGTGCTACCAGGGAGGGCCAATTTAGAAAACATTTTAAGGACCATCCAGCAAGTGAGCAGGGCTCTGACCTCCAGTGAGTCCGCTGCAGCCTGACTTGAGAGGGATCCACCCAGCCAGCTGCACCCCAATCCCCTGCAGCCAGGCGCGCCCCCTCACCTCCATGATGCAGGCCAACTGCTCCACCTCATTCTCCCCAGGGAAGAGAGGGAAGCCGGTGTATAGCTCGGCCATGATGCAGCCCAGACTCCACATGTCAATGGCCATGTTGTAGGGGTGGCCGAGAATGACCTCCGGGGATCGGTAGAACCGGCTCTGGATGTAGGTGTACACTGCCGGAGAAAGAGCGGGCACTCCTGGAGGAAAAGCTTTTCTGCAGGACCTATTTCCCCAGTGTGCCATCTCTCGGGCAAATCCATTTCCCCAGATGCTGAGAAGTGCGAAGGACCAGTAAGGAATGTGCATCCAGCAAGGTATTTACAGATGCGGAACTTAAGCTCTGGGATGAGCTGCACCCAGATTCGCAGCATGACAGAGCGATGACGCGCCAGAGCCACAGTGGCACCAGAACACCCATGTGTGTGGAATCCCTCAGGGAGGGAGAGAACTCGCAGAGGAAACTCAGACAAGAGTCCTGGGCTAGGCTTACCTTTCTGATCTTCATAGCAGCTTGATCCAAAGTCAATAACTTTAACAGAGACTTGGCCCTTTTTGTATAACACTATGTTCTCCTGGAGAAGAAGAAATGTCAGTTTTAATAACGGGGTACTCTCTTCACCTAAATGCCTGCTATCCTCCAGGGCCAGGTCAACAGGCACTGCCCGCTCAGGGCACATCTTCTCCAGATGCCTCTGTCCTCTCCCTGGGTGGCCCCAGTCTACTTGCTTGCCTCCTGTATTTGCTGCTTTGCAGTATTTCTTTTTGCACATATTTTGCTTTTTTCCCCCCATTTAGCTGGTGCACCTCCTGAAGATTCTGGCTTCATTTTTATGTCCTTTAGCACCTTCCCTTTGCTGGCATACGGCCTTAGCAATATCACTGACTGAATATGATGGCTCCGTGAAGTGACCCACCTACACATGAGGACCCACACCTCAGGCTACCACTTGACTGGAGTCCAGAGTTCATATGCTGACCTTGGGGGAAAAGTGAGGTCAGGTGTTCTATCAAGATTAGGGAGAAGAAGGGAATGTTCCTGGACCTTTCTCAGAGCAGGAGAGTACCGACCTAGGGCTGGAGGATTCAAGACCTAATCATGTTCCAAGGATTTCAACATCAGATGAATTGATTATTATGAGCATCAGGTGAACAGCTTACTGAGCACCTAACAATGTAGATCTGCCCTAGTGAGTCTGTTCTGGAGCCTCTCACCCCACAAATTAGGAAGAAACAAATTTAGTCCATAGTACCTTTGCTGTGTTAAATGAAACAGCGTGTGATCGGCAAAAATCTTTACCGAGCCAAGTATTTCTATAGTGTCTCTAGCTCAGTGAACAGGCCCTTCCCTAGAAGGGATGAGTCCTCCAGCCTGTTGAGGGAAAGGATGTATCAGGCCATCACGTCCGTCACCAGCCACCAGCTTCATGAAACTAACTCCCTCAGCCTTGAATCCACAATCAACAAACGCTCTCCTGGATTTGTGCATAATCCCCATTGGACAGATGCATTCTAGTTGACTTCTCAGGGAAACCTATTGCCTGGTATGTTGGCTACCAAGAGTCAGAAATTTCGCTGGTGAGAGACATATCCTCAAGCCCAAGGACATGTGTGTTTTGACCCTCTGGAGCTATAGGTCGACGATTAAGAACTTAGACGCAGAGAAAAATATATAGTAGCATGAGCCTATGAGACTGTATCAGTCCTCAATGCTCTGTCTTGATGATCTCTAATTGTAAAACTATCCCAAAACTACTCAATGAGTTCCAGTGTTTAAAAAAAAAAGGGGGGGGGGGAGTTAAACCACCTTGGGGGATAAGCTCTTAAGGAATATTTACATCTCTCTGAGGGTCCGGTTCAGGGAAGCAGCTCCTGAACCCCTATCTTCACAGCTGTGTTCCTTTCCCTACTCATCCATCTGTATTCCTCACATCTGAATAATTAATTCACCTGACAAGTAATACCTTCTTACTATCATCAGGCACCATGTTAAGTCCTGGGGGGAAATGGTGGGAAGACATGTTTCCTGACCTAGGGGGGAGCTTGCAGTCCAGTAGAGGGTGCAGATAAAGAAGCAAAGTCCTCCCTCCCCCCAGAGTAGTCACGACAGAGCTAAGCATAGCACACTAACAGGGCAGGCACGAAGACATGTGCACTTGGAACAGAGGAGGAAGTGAGGGGCTGCTGTGCCCCGGGATCAGCGTAGAGTGGAGAATGAGGATTTAGTAAGCTAGGGTGATGTGCCCCACCCCCCACACCTTCCATAGGAACCCTCAGGCTTTTCTGCCACCAGCTGCCTCTGTGACAACATCTCTGTCTTCCCTGTCCCAGTAACCCTGCTTCGGGCAAGCCATTGTGATGCAAAGGACCTCAGTAACCATGCTGTGGCCCCCACACACTGCACATCCCCTTTGGACCTGGACACATGGCTTCCATGCTGGGCCTGGCCAAGAGGGTGGCCCAGTCACACTAGAAAATGAAAGGGGCAAACCATTTCTCAGAAAAGGACCCAGCTCCTCAGCAGCGTCGAGGTTGTTACTCACAGGCTTGAGATCACAGTGAATGATTTTCTCAACAGAAAGCATCTGCAAACATTTCAAAACACAGAGAGTAAAGCGCCGGATTATGGACAGACTGAAACCTTGAAAGCTATTATTCTTCATCAACTCGTACAGATTGATTCTAGGGGGGGGAAAGGAGAGAGAGTGCAGAATATGTATCAGTATGTGAAGCATGAGGCTGAGTTTAAACCCACAAAAATTCCCCACCAGCTGCTTCCCCCCTTAACCTCACACCCCCACCCCCACCCCCGCCCCCCGCCCAGGGCAGGCTCTGTACTGTATAAGCTCAACTTCTCCATTGACCTATGTTGGGTTGAGGGAAGGCTGGACACTGGTGGCTTGTCCGATGCCCCCTGGTTCCTTATGTGGCAAGGTCATATAGTCACTTTGTTTTGATTCAAAGGTTGGATTGAACTTTGGAATTATTTGTGGTTCTTCGGCCCTTGGGGATGTTAGGTCCAGAACATTCACTTGTCATTCAACCAAGCAGCTGCCCCTGCCCAGGCCTCTGAAAGCTGTCCTGAACTCTCAGGGCTATTTTAAGTCCCAACTGGGACTGAGGGCCAAGGAAGGCATCCTGTGCCATAGTGGCCATCAATTCCCAACATTCCTGAGTCAAAGCACTGCATAGACGCCTTCAGCACCAACAGGAACACAGGTCAATCACCTCTCAATAAAACTCGATGGAAAGAAGAAAGTCAGGCTAGGCTGTCTGCATTGGACAAGAAGACAGGCCCATGTCTGCATGTTGGAAAACAGGTCACATGTTGTAAGCCACCATGAGAGACGGTCGGGAGCATGTCAACTTTCTCTCTAAATCAAATTTAGCCAGTTTCTGGAATTTCATCAACCAAGATGGAGTCATAGGAATACTGAGCTATCAGTCCGGTGAAGTCAGTAACGCTGGACCCTGACAACTTCCTCTTTGCTAAATGCGTCCTGGGCTTCTGTTTTTATTTAAACGGCATCAATGATCTTCTCACAGAGAAAAGTCCTCCTAATAGTATGCCTTTTTGCTCCCTGTTCCAGTTGGTGATGCCTCTCTGTCTAAATCAGCTTCTGCTCTTTTACCAAAAATATCTGTTCCTGTCCTTATTTGCTCAAAACCCAAGCCCTTCCCCACTCTGAGCAAAACCCAAGCCCTTCCCAACTCAGGAGCTGCTCCTATGGGTTCCGAATTCTGCACTCTAAGTTTTAAAAGCCAGGGAGTGCGGACACAGGACAAAGGAGAGTCTTTGTCAACATGGTCTAGCATTAGAGGACAAAGACCTTGCTTGTGTCCTGTCAGCCAGTTTGGCCCCCAGCGCCTGGGCACCATGTCCTGGTGTGCTGACATGACTGACGGGTGAGCTGAACTCCTGGGCTTCCCAGATAATGGAGTGGTTTTGCTTCAATTCTGGACATCCAATGTTCACCAGAAAAACCTTTAAAATAAAAAAGCAGCTGACCCCAGGAGTTCAAAGGTGATGCAGAGGTGATTGCGGAAGTAGAAAAAGTCCTTCATGTGTACCACATTGTAGGAGTTGTCTTTGTCCTTCCTCCTGAGGGCTTCCAGGATCTTCAGCTCCACCAGGGCCTGGTGGTGGAATCTGAAGAGACAGGGGAGTGGCAGGGAGGTGGGGAATAAGGACAGAAGAGACCGTGTCACAGGATGCTGCAGGACCCCATCCCGTGACCCCAGCAGGACTGTCTAGGGGGCACCAAAACCCCATATGCTTGCTTTCTGTTTGCTCCTTGAGAACTTAGAGGGGTAGGAAGAGAGGGAGAGCGACCAGTGAAAGAGGCAGGGTAAAAAGGTCGGCACTATGACAGCGTCCGTGCCACGAGGGGTCCCTCTTCTATGACCTACTCCATCCACCAAGCCACACCTCTTCTTGTTCCTGATGATTTTCAAGGCCACCAACTCATTGTTTTTGTGATCCATGCACTTGGCCACCTGCCCAAAGGACCCTTTCCCAATCATTTCCAGCACCTCGTAGCGGTAGGCAATGTGGTCGTGCAGAACCTGCAGAGGCAGACCAGGGTAGGTGAGGAGCAGAGCCCTAGACTCTGGGGCTTCCCCGACTCTAGGCTCCTGAATACTGATCCTCAGTTCATGGCTGACTCCTGGGGGGACTCTCTGAGCTGCCCTGGGCACACATGCAGCCCCCAAGCGCCTCTCACTGCTCCTGCACGGGACCCCTAGGCCGTTGCCCAGACCCCAGGTCACCTGTGTGGTTCAGGGCAAGTCCCGCAGGCTTGGCCAAGGTCAGACACTGCAAAAAAAACATTGCTCTCTGGGCAACTTGCATCCAAGTGGCTCTCCTGCTACTACCTGTGATTTTCCACACATGTGCAGACTGGGGAAGTATGAAGTTTGGACACCCTGACTATCCCTTCCAGTCAGGACATATCATGATCCCTGGAAGCACCGAGCAGCAGCTCAGTTTTGCAGGTGAAGATAGGTTCTCAATACACAGATATTTAATTAACATTTAAATAAATACGTATTCAGTAAACACTGCTAAGAAAATGAATGTGAGAATGCAGCTGTGTTGTTTGTTTGAACACTCAGCTATGCCCACTGTGTGCTTGAGGGCACACAGATGGAGCTTCTGGACACACAGCAGGGGCACTTCCCCACCACCATCACCAAAACACAGCCAAGGTTTGCGGTTGAGGAACAGGGCTGCGGTTAATTCATCATTTACAGGTAGTGCTGACAGCCTTGGGGAATTTCCCAGGTCGGTATGCCCAGGCAAGTTTATATTGGAGATTCTCAACAAAGGAGACAGTAACACAAAATTTTGTGCATGTTCAGGGCACCTTCTGGGATGAAGACTTGTAGCTTTTTATCAGATTCCCAAATGGATTCCCCACCTAAAATGGTCAAGAACCAAGGTTCTAGATAGAAGTCAGATGTCAGAAACTCCAAATCTCACTCCTTGAAGTTTGAGCCATTGACAAGCAATAAAGTATCATGTGGAAGCTGTGAAAATGGCAAATCTCAAGCGCTCCCCAGTGGCACAACGGGTCAGTACGCAGCACTGCAAGGTGGCCGCAGCCACTTCAGTGTGAGTTCGATCCACGTCCCCAGAGGTGACCCACATGACGCAGCAGACCTCTCCTGACCCGCCCGCTGCTCCCCTCAGCAGTGTACTTCGTCGATCTGCCTGTTCTGCTCTTCACTCTGTCTCTGGTGAATCCTCTTACTGCCCCTACATCTCTGGCCTGTACACCAGTTCTGTATGCATAAATAAACGAATCTTTTTAAAAAATAAAATGGCAAATCTCAGGGCTTTCCCCAGCCCTGGTAGAAAAGGACTCACCTTCTAAACAAAATCTCAGAAATTTGAGTGCAGAGTAAAGTTTGAGAAAGATAGCCCTAAGTGTAATGGAGAAAAGCTGCCTTCTCCTTGGAAGCCAAGGAAGAATGAGCCTGTCTCCTAAAGCTCAGGGCAAGTAGCTGGAAAGGAAATTCCCAGCAGCCTCTGAGGCTTGTCCACTAAACATTACACATCCGGGCATCCTCTGAAGAGGAAAGCACTTCCTGAAGTGAACAGGACTTCGGTGCCCAGATTTTACCATCAGATAGGGGAGAGGCCTGTTGGGGGAACTCAAAGCACAGGTCAGAAGAGGGGAGGAGCAGGTAGGTCCCTCTTTGGAAAACTGGAGGAAGCCAGGTCCCATGCACTAAGACACCTCCCTTGTGGGGGGCTTCTATAAAGGACACCCAAAAAGAAGTCCTGGGGAGACTGCCTCTAATCTTAGACTCTGGCATTTTCCAAAGAGTCTGGGGCTGTGGGAGGTAACCCCAGAGGCCCCCCTTATCCCAGACACTCTTGGGGAAAGTCACTGCTATCAGCTGAATGGTTTCCCATTTTTAAACATGGTACTTCTTTGGTTTAAGAAACTACTAGAATCCTTTCGGGTTCCTTGTCCCCTATCTAGCAACACTGAATGCTATAAAGCAACAAGCTTCTTCTTTCCAGACTGTCTCCCCCCACCCCCCCAGTCCAAGGCCCTGCAGTTACTGTGACCTTCATCACCTTCATATAGGAGCCGTGTTCATCATCGAAACTTGTCTTGTTGAAGCTCTCAGGCGCCATGTGCAGCTTCTCAGCTTCGAGCCCCAGAAACCACAGCTCTGTGTAGCCCAGGATTTCGCTTTGCTCATAATAAGAGAGTCGATTCTTAAAAAACTTGAGGGCCTCTGTGGGAAAAGCACTGTGGTGGTTTATTAAGTTGAAGCACTCCAGGGAGTTACCCAGCGTGCCGACAATGGCATCCCTCCTAGATCAGGAGCTTTCCTTTCTGGGGGCTGGGCCCCTCAATCTCACAGGGTGGGAAATAGAACAAGGATGAATGTCAAGGTCTTGTGTTGACTTCAACAATCAAGACCTCCTGATCAGGAGGAAAAGACAAAGGTGGGGGAAAGTAGAATTTGTCCGCAAAGGCATAGGGTGCATCAGCAGGGGTAAGAAAAATCTAGGAGTAAACTTAAAGTGTCAACAACAGTAGGTGGGTAAATTAACAGTGGCCCATGTTAGTGGCTACTTGAATAATCTATCTGAGAGCGTTGGCAACACTGTCCAGGGATCAGGCAGAAAACAGAAATGTGATTGTAAATGTCCAGGTGAGACTGTGAGTCCCTTAGATTACGAGAAAGATGTGGGTGCTCTTTTCTACTCTGCCCTGGTCACTCACTCCATCTTGGGGTTTGGTCTGGGGGTGCGTAAGGAGGAATTCACACTATAATGGAGAGAGGTAAGCCTGAGTGGCTCCGAGAAATAAAACCAAGACTGGGAGCTGCATCGTGTCACTTGATAAACTGTTGAAGGGTAGAAGAAAGTGGCAGGGTGGAGGGGTGGAGGAGAGAGAATGTAGGGAAGAGGGGAGACCTTTGACCTCATCTGTGTGAAGGGTGCTCAAGAGGAAGGTGTAGAGACCCCTTTTTTCCCCAGAGGATAGAGCCAAGGCCCAAGAGAGGCAGACCTGGCTCAGAATGGGAATGGGCTCCGGGGGGAGCTCCCGATCGGTGTACACAGAGGAAGGACAGCTGAGTTGAGCGTGTAGCTCTGAGCCTAAGCCCGTGCTGGCACACCAGGGCCCCGTGGATACTGGCTCGCTTGCCCTCATACATTAATGAACCCCTGAGGAGACCTTCTAGGTCTGACCATTAGCGATGACAGACTGTACCTGGCAGATCTGGGTGGGGTGGAGGGTATGGGGAGGCTGGCAGGTGGGGAGAGGGGAGCTGCCACCCCACACCAGGATCATTTGTCTCCCAAGAGTTCCGGTCAAGGACTCAGGCTGCCCTGGCTGGCCCAGCTCTTGCTCCCACTTGCTTCCCTAACCCAGGAGCTTCTGTTCGAAGGTTCCCTCAGGTGCTCCTGCCAAGACCTCCTTTCCACCCTGACTCTGGATCAGTATGTTCCCACCCCCAGCTCTTGCCCTGGCCCTCCTCTCCCTTAAAAAGCCAGGAACGGGGCCCTCCCTAGTGGCACAGCGGGTTAAAGCCACTACAAAACTAATGGCATCAGTGCGAGTTCGGTCCCCGCCCTGGAGCTGACCCACATTGCGTGGCAGAACACTCCTGACCCGCCCACTGCCCCCTAGCAGTGTATTTCAATTGATCTGCCTGTTCTGCTCCCCACTCTGTCTCTGGCGAAGCCTTTCACTGCTCCTGCACTTGTGGCTTGTACCCCAATACTGTAAACTTAAATAAATAAACTTAAAAAAAAAAAAGCCAGGAAACTTTTGTTCAGCCTCTCTAAAGCAGTGAGATAACATCCCTGGGGGCAGCGCTTGGGGAAATGGTTCAGAGGAGCGTCAGGGTCTCTTCTCCTGAGCCTCTCTGGCCTATACATACATCACTGGAAGTGACAAGCTTTTCCTTGGCTTGCTACCCTACCTGACTACTCTGACTGCTGGGAGCTTCTCCCTGTCCAGCCCAGCCCAGTCTAGCTACCCTCTCCCGCACCCCCTTCTAGAGCCCCCCAGCCATACCTGCCGATGTCAGAGGCATCTTATGCTTCCTTGGTGTTTTCTCCTCTGACTCAGGATCTTGAGTTTTAACATTCAAGGGGAGAGCTATTTCTGAAGCCTTAAACCCAGAGGCCGACATCTGTCTGTAAGTTTCCTGTCCAGGGAAAGAAACTCGCAATAAGGATCACTTGCCCTTTCTGGGAGTCACTGACTAGAGACACGCAGCTCTCTAGGAAGGAGACCAGCTTCTCCTTCCTCCCCAGGGAGAAAACAGTAATTCTGAGACAGTAGATTTTCCGGGTCTTTCTCCTCAGTAAGCATTTATCTGGCTGGGGGTCCTCTCCACGAGACCTACTGGCATTGCCGTATGTAAATGACAATGGCAGTAAGGTGGGCACAGTTTCTGCAGGTCTGAAGACCAATTCTAACAAAAGTGATTTGCCCAAGTTCAAATACTTGCACTCTTTCCTGCATACGCCACCCCTCCTTGGCACTTTCTCCCATTATCTCATTTGGTCTTTACAAAAAGTAAGACACATGGTATTCAACCGTTTGTGTTTTTGACCATGTATACAACCAGACCTTCCCTTTTTCCTTCTCCCAATGAATCCTCATGACAAGACTGTAGCAGACTTTCTTTGCAGATAAGAGAGCCTCAAGAACTTATTTGTTTAAATTTATGTTGACTGGAAAGAGCAAGAAAGCTAAGCACCCAGCTCTCACTGACACTGCCCTTTCCTGAGCACCCAGGCCTTTCTTAATTCCCTTCCAGGCTGAGATCAGGTCTTCCCAGGCCCACCGCTTGGTCCTCACCTGATATAGTAGGGGTGGCTTGAGCTGGAATTTATTGCTGATGTGAGGGAATTTAACGATGTTCTTCTTCTGTTTGGGATGTACAAAAGGGAATGAAGTAACACTGGTGTTTGTATTCTATAAGAGGAGAAATAGGAGGTGTAATGGATACCTTGGATGAGAAAAAATCTGTAGGGAGACATTTCTTCTAATACTTTCCCACAACAAGGATGAATCTAAACCAAATCTTGGCTTATATCAACTTTGCAAGTTCTTGGACAGGAAAAAAGAGGGGTCAAGGAGACAGACCTTAAGTCTGTAGAACTGACACAAACCCCATCAACTCTTTCTCTATGCTGTGAGGCAACCTAAGTAGAATACTCCATTTACCAAGGCATTATTATCTTCATTCCTCTATCTTACCAGCCTAACAAGGGAAACTTCTTTCTGCGATGTCAAATAAGCTCCCGTTTCCTTCTCTCCATGATTAACTGACCTGACTCACTCATGGTGCTCCTGGTGTCCTCTGCACTGACTGATTGATGTCTGATTAGGAGAGAGGCAGAATGACTCTCGAGGGACAGTAGTCTTTGAAACTGCATGGCGATGAGGAATGATGACAATGATGGAGCTCACCATTTTATGATGAGTTGACCCAAAGTGCTGATGCCTAGCTTCCCATGGCTACCCAGCAGCCCTCAGCCTCTGCTAGAGAAAAGACACTGGCATCACTTCCTACCTTACGGAAAAATTGGGTCATCTTGAGAGTCTTGATCTTGGAAGGTAGCTTCTGGACTTGAACCAAAGGTTTACTCTCAACCTGGGTCGATGGAAGAGAAATTGAAAGAGTGCTTGGCGTGGTTTCACCTCAAGCTGCCCAGATATTTATTTTGCTTCAGTACAATAAATAAGATACACTAAGCCAGTTTCCCTGGCCCCAAAGCTAGAAGAGCTAAGAACAGTTCAAAGAAGTGCTAAATGCACGCATGATGAAAGATTAGGCACACAAATGATCTTCCTGGCAATGTCTATCCAGGGTTGACTTGTCTTATGGTTTTCACATTTTTGGAAAGAATCCATTTAACCCTTTCTTCAAATAAAATCTTAACTGGAAGCCCTGGACAAGGGAAGAGATAAAAATTGAACTTCTCTTGTTAAAGAAAATGTCCCTTTTCAAGGAAGATAATCTTTCCAAGGAATGCCTTTACCATTGAGTGTCTCTGAAAGTACAACCTTCAGAGGAACCCGTTAGACTACAGGAGCCCAGCCTGAACACCAGTGACCAGAGGAGACTTCAGGTCGGGAGAGGGTGGGAAGGGAAAGTGAGATGCCAGGCCAGTGTGTGCCACAGGTGGAGAGCCCTTGTGGGCTAAATGACATGACTGCATATAGAACCCAGATGACAGTTCTCCTCGGGTAATTCCCTTTACTTAATGCTCAACTGAAAAACGATAACTAGCACATTAAAGCTTATTTTGTGGTTATTATTTAAATTGAGATCAAGATTTAAATTTATAAAGACAGTGTGAGTACTACAGACGAGGGAAACATCAGGACGGTAGCACTGAAATGGCTGACGGTTAGTACAAACGGCCTATACTTTGAATCTAGAGGTTTTTTCCTTTGAGTCAAAACTACAGAGCCACGTCTTACAGTCCTCACTTAGCAAACTGATATGTCTCTAAGGTTGACGCACAGCTGGTACTGGGCCCACCTCTGTCAAACTTGGCCACACTTAAATGGTGAACAAAGTAGAACACTTAACTTAGCATAACTAAGCCCTCAAGAACATGATGGTCTGTTTAGAACAGGCCACCTTCATCTTCTAGAGAAGGGTCTAAGGGAGAGCGGATGGCACAGAACACAAGCTGCGACTTCTGACCAAACAAGTGTGATTGGCTAACATGTGCTACACACAGGATCTGGTTGTTTACTGGATGAACATGATGATACCTGAGCAAATATGTCAAGTACAGATCTCACCAGTCCCAATCTCTCATCAAATAAATTTGTGAGGTTAAAGCTTACAGCCATCATCAAATGAGGATAAACTAGCACCGAGGATGAGTTGGCAAGGCCAGACAGACAGATAAATTAAAAGTTCATTAACCAAACTCAATCCAGGCTAAATACTGAACAGGGGACATGAACAATGAGTCTCCAGAAAGAAGGAAGAGATCACAGTGATAGCGATTCACCCCGGAGAAGGAGGGAGCTGGGGCTTGAAGTTGGAGGGGTGGGCTTTAATTGGATGGGAGGGCAAGGCACATGTTCACGGGCTGAAACACTAGTATCGGGCATGCCTGGCACCTCACTGCTCTTGGTTAGTCTGGTACGGCGGGTGTAATGTGGATCATGGAAGGTGCTGGGTGCTGAGCTAAGATACTTGACATCATGAATGATAGTGGACCACTGATAGCAAGGTTGGGCATTACATAGGCAAAACAGTATTTCAGGAAGCCCCTCTCCCCCACCACCCCAGCAGCAATGTGCATAAAATAATGCTTGAAGCTACCGACCTGGAAGTCAGACTCTTGGGTTTTGAATCTCAACTTTACTACTTTGTCATTTGACGCTGGGCAAGTCATTAACATTCCTCATGTAAGAGGGCAATTATCACAGCACAACCACAGAAGTGGCCATGCTGAGGCCGTCCAACATCAGGCCCTGGGTGGTGGCTGCAGAACGCCCCTGGAGAGACTGGGAGCTGCAAGGAGCTGCCAGGGGCTTGCCGGGATTCATTGTTTGTGCTCATCACAGGTCTAGGCACCTCCTCAGCACGCACACTTTTTATATGCCCATAGAAAGAAAAGTTAGATTTTTAAATGATTGTTATCTAAAACATAACATACTACAATAGAGAACCCTAGTTGGGTTCAGGACAATGTGGGGGTAGGGAGGTGTGGGGGTGGGGGCAGTAATAGTGGGAAGCCTGCTTTCCCTGAAAGACACAGAATCAGCCTAGACACAGACCTGGCCTGAAGTCTCAGGGCAGGGGACTTGGCTTGGTGAGATGGGAAGAAGAGAGAGCCCGGTGGTGGGAGCTGGCATAGAGAAAGGCAAGATAAGTGTGTCACAAGGACAAAGGCCAGAGGTGGAGTGGGACATCCAGTGAATCTTAAACTAGGGACATTTAGTGAATCTTAAGCTAAATCCTGGCTTTGGAGCGCTCCAGGAGTCTGAGAAGGGGTCAGAAAAGATTATCAGCCAGAGGATGGGGCAGAGAGCATTATGAATCACAGATCACCTCTATCTGACCCCAAGATGATAATTTCCACAATAATTCCATCAAAAAGCACTATAATAGGACCACCCTCACTCTGGCAAAATGCAGCTCACTGCCCACGTGTGTCTATCCTGGCATCCCAATTTCTCTTGTTGCCTTTCCTTAAAAAACTTGCCATGTGCTGATGAGAGGGAACATCTCAGTTCTTTCTCAGAGGGACCCAAGAACTCCACACACCGAACCCCATCACCTAAACCCCAAAACTGTTCACAAGAAAGGTCAGGTTAAGCGTTGCTCACTCCCGTGCCCACATACAAATCCGGGGATTCCCCCTGGGTCTCTTGCTATGCTTGCTGGCCATAGCTGGGTGCTGGTCTGGGGTGTCTCAGCCCAGGCGCTGCACCAACACACCTGTGCCCCCCAAAAGCTGGCTGATGGAGGTCTGAATCTCAGTCCTGCCCTGGGCCCTGAGCTACCCCTCTCACGCATCTGTCTCCTGAGCTGGCGGGCTCTTGCCAAGCAGGTCTCTCCTCTCTGTTTCTCACACTATTGTTTTCTCAACCAAAAACAAAAGGAAATTTCAGTCTTAGAGCTGATACAGCAAAAAGGTGGGAAGCAACGAGCAGAAATGCTCACCAGAGCCTTCCCCCAGGGTTCATGCAAAATAGCTGGAAATTGGCCAAAGCACAGCTGACCTTTGGACAAGTGAGTTAGAACTGCAGGGGTCCATGCCCATGGACATTTTACCCCTACTGGTTCAGAATTCATGGATTCAAGCACCCCATATCAGATATCCCTATGATGAATTGAAGAGTGTGGAGCCCACAGTTATGGAAGACTATTACTTATATCCGATTTCTCACTGCCCCTAACAAGTTGTTCAATGGTCAACTGTACTCAGCTATAAGTTCTTGAGATGCAGCCTCAAGGATCCCCCCGGAACACTTCTTTCCCACCTCCCCAGCCTGAAGTTTACTTGGAGTCCCTGAGAAGGGGTGGACCTAGGCAATGCATGCATTCTTAGATTACTTACTGAGATACTGATGCACCAGTGTTTTCCATTTTTCCTGAAGAGCTTTCAAATTACAGAATCTCAGACCTGACACCAATCTCCCAGCAGCAGAACCCAAAAAGCTTTGTTTTTTAGAAAATCCCCCCAAGTGAGTTCTATGCAGCTGATTTAAGAGCCACAATCTAATACAATCCTCTTCTTTGGATTTACTCTCCCCACCTCCAAACTTGGTTTTCCTATTCCATTGATGTTTTCGTATCCACCCTAATTTCTTTAATGTATTATTATCTCCCCCCTCCCCCAAGATTCCATGGCCACAAACATCGGGCATTCTCTGAGATGCCAGCCCTCAAGAGCACCGTGTCTGTGTAGTTTCAAGCAAGGTCCCCAAACCCCAAGAGGCGTGCCATCATCAAGCCTGGACTGAGCTGGGAGCAGAATCAAGCTTGGTGTGCCCAAGAGTGTCAGGATGGGGGTGGAGTCTTCATTAAGAGGATACCTGCAGGAGCCAGGAGAGCTGCAGGCTGCTTCTGTGTGAGTCATGGGGAAGCATCTTCAGGGCAAGTCTGGAGTCATCCAGCAAGCACAGTATAGGCGAGAGGGGGGAATGGGAGTTTGAGGAGTTTTTTTACAAATCTGCTAATTGTCCATTATGATTTCTTACCCACCGTGGGCAGCAGAGCTGTGAGAAGGAAGCCATTCTTCTCAGGACTGCCCACCACGACACCATGGCAAGGTCTCCTAAGCAGTTCCCCTGCCCAGCCCGCCCTCTGTTGCCTAAGTGACCCAGAAAGGCTACAAGAACATCAGATCAAGTCGCCTCCTTGCTGACTTCCTGCAGCACAGGAGATCCAGCACAAAAACCCTCCCAGCCTCAGCCCTTCCGTGGCTCTGTCCCTGTTCCGCTCTCTTCAGCAACTTCGAGCCGCATGAGACTCCAGCACCACGCTGCTTCACATCACAGCACTTTTGCTTCTGCTCTGTCAGGTTTCAAACCACTCCCTTCCCATCATGCCCTCTTCTGCAGGTCCAGGTCACATGGGCAAATTCATTCTCATTCAAGCCCCACCACCTTCTCCAGAAAGTCTCTGAGACCATTCTTGTTGGGATTTGCCACAGAAACCTCCTTTCTCCCTTTCTCTCTCTCCCCCCAAATCTTACCCTCTCTCTCTGTCACACACACACACACACACACACACATACACACACACCATCACAACACCTGCAAAGCTCTTGGCACAAGCAAGATTGGCTCACATCTGCTTTCTGCTGGACTCTAAGACTTTAAGCAAAGATCTCAAACTAATCTCAGCATCCCAAAACCGAATACCCTATCTCACATATAGGGGGCACTAAAATAACTGCTAAGGGGAAGAAAGGGAAGGAGGCAGGAGAGATCAAGAGGCCACGAAGCTTCTGCTTATCATCAAGGATTTGAGTTGACAAAGTTGTCAGGGAGACAGCTCAACTGGGACTCCACCTCCCTTCCGGTGAGGTTCTCTTCCCATGCTCCCCCTGAGTGACCACGACCCACCAAGTGCCTACAAGTCCTTGGCACTTCCTTTTGTCTGGACAGGCTCCAGAGCCCTAATCTACACTGTCCATACCCACCCCTCCAAGTTAGTTGCATTTCCAAAGGGTGTGCTAGAGAAGATGCTCTCCCCAGAAGGCCTTTCTTTTAGGAGAGAAAGACCTCACAGCCCCTCTCAGGCAGGAGCCATCCCCTCATGCTGACCCTGACATTCAGCTTCCAAGTCAGAGTGGAGGAAAGTTCTAGAAAAGTACCCAGCACCAGGCAGGGCCCCTCCCTTGTGTTTCATTATGCCAGCCCCCCCCCCCCAATCATGCACATGCTGCCTCCCTGTGTGTAGAGAGCGCTGGTCTCCCCCCAGGAGGTGTATCCCTGCCCCTACCTCAGAAAGAAAGGACATGCGACCCAGTCCCTATGCCAGGAGGAGCAGGCCCCAAGAGCACTGCCTCCGCTGTTACCTGGCACAGAACCCTGGAAGTCTTCATCTGTGACGTTCAGGGGAGAAAGCAGGGTTCAGGGCCACTCTGGCCCCCTGTTCCTGGTACCCCCCTCACTGTCTTCTCAGAAAGGCACGCTGCCACCAGAGGACCCCACCCCAATCCTACCTCACTGGGCTCTTTTTCTATTTTCTTAGCTCTGGCTCCTCCTGGCCTCTTTCTTTCTCCTCCCAGTTTAAAAAGGAAAAAAAAAAAGTCCCAAATGCCTGGTCAAGACTGAAGTTCAAGTTCTGGGATATCAAATCACAGCTTCCTCCTTGCAAAAGCCATAATCCCTTCCCAAAGGCACAAAACAAATGCATTGATGCAGGGAGAGGGTGTGACGAAGAGAGAGAAATCTTTGGGGATTCTCTATAGAACACAACACCTTCCACAATTAGGCCCCCGCAGAGCAGCAGAGAGCTCAGAAGAGGGAGGCCTCTGGGCCCTAATATCCCCAGGAAGGCATTAGGCTATTAGGTGCAACAGACTTCAGATAATCAAGACACTGCAGCCTCTGCCCCTTCCAGCTAAGAGGCCTCCCTGAAGCCCCCTGCTGTGTGGGGGGAGGCAGGGTGCTAGACAGAGCATCCCTCTGATGACAGCCACAGCCACGCTGGGCTCTGGAGACCCATTAGCTGAGCGAATGTGCCCAGCACCTGGGAGGACCAATGAGGACATCATCACGCTGATATCATGGCCTCCCAGGGCTCCTGGCAAGGTGAAGGTGAAGGAAGCCCAGGCCAGTCTAGGGGTTGGGTGGGGCACACAGGAACTCTGCTCAGTGTTTCTAGAAACTAGAGGGTAAGGTACATAAGAAGTAGGCAAGGCAAGAACCAGTGGAAGGTATCTGTAGCACATACAACTGGCCAAGGATTAGGACCTCCCTTGAATAGTTTCTATTTATTTATAGATAAATTTAAGTATCTTTTATTCATGTATAGTTTATGCCATGTAGAACATATATATGCATATGTGCATAAAATAGTCTACAAATCAATAAGAAAAAACAATGCAACACCAAAATATTTAAGTGACGAAATAACCAGGCATTTCACGCAAGACCAACAAACACATGAAAGGGGCTCACTCTCATTAGTCATCATGACAATGCAAATCAAAATACAACAAAATACTGTTTCCCAGCTACCATAATGACGAAAGAAAGAGTCACGATCACAAGTGATAAAAATGATGGGGACAACTAGATTCTAAGGGACTGTTGGTGGCAAGGTATAATGACAGCGGAATCTGAGCAAACTGGTGGGTGGGAACTACCCGCTAAAGTCCAACATTCACATACCTCGCAATTCTCTTCTTGAGTATACACGCTAAAACTCCTTCCCACACAAACGAGGACACATCACAGCCACCTCATAGTAGAACCATTTATAAAAACAAAACACAAGAAAAAAATCTTCATCAGCTATAAAACCAACAAGAGGTGTGATACGTCCATACAATAGGATAATGGGATACAGCAATGTTAGCTTCCGAACAACAGAGGACACAAACACCGGTCAAACAGCGAGGAGACTAATCAGCCCAAGGGGAAGCCAGGCAGCAGGCACTGGGGTGCACTCACTAAGTCCTGAGCATAAAAAGAGTCGCAGGAGAAAATTTAACAGTGGATGCCATGTCTAGAAAAAACATAAGTGAGCCAAGTTAATCAATATATAGGGTGGGAGGTCTGGAATCATACAAAGAAAATCAATGGAATAATAGATGCCAAGGTCACCATCTCAGTGGGGTCATGAAAGGAGTGAGATATTATGGGGGAAGAACACGCCCGGATTCCTTAAACCATGTCGGGCACACACAGGGTCTGCATTATATTGTTTTTCTTTTGGCTTTTCACATATACTTACCTACTTATAACTACATTCAACACAATGATCAAAAAAGGTCAAACATTAATAAAGACAGAATAAAATCTGAATCCTGATTTCAGATTTTATTAACAATGAGTTTCAGTGATTGGTTTAATGTCACAAGACCTCAGTTCCCTCCTCTTTCAAAAGGCAGAGATGACAATTTCAATATTGTTGAAAGGAGCAAATGTAAAAGACTGATTACATACTGGGTGGGAGTTTTATTTTTGTCATCTTTTCTAGACCTCCAGCATCTGATTTTTGTAGCTTGGGGAAGCTTTCAACAGATGTGATCTACTCCTTCCTGTTAATTCTGGTACCCAGAGACATCCATCCCATCCCATCCTGTCCCAGCCACTGCAGGGAATCTCAAGTCATAGTTTCCCTTTCTCTCTAAACTGAGAGGGCCAGTGGGAACCCAGAACAAAGGAACTGGTACTTACTAGGTAGATCTGTGAGGGAATATTAGGATCCTAGGAGAAGACAGCAGAAGTATGTTAGTGTTCTTTCTTAGGACTTCAGGTCCATCCAAATGTAGATATAATATCCTATTACATACCTAATTTTCACTGAGCCACCAATTATACGTTGAATGCTTGCAATCGTATTTTAAATGTTTTAGTTCTGTTATCATTTTAAGTTCTTCCCATCTATACCTTGCACTTGCATTGCAAATGTGAATTCATTACCGTAACTAATAGAGTACCACAGTGAAAACCTAGACCAGTGGAATCTCTGCTGACAGTTCTGTCTTCGATTCTAATCGACTGTGAATTCTATTCTTTTGCCAGACAGAGGCTCAGATTGTTTTTCCCTATGGAGGGGATGAGATACATAATCTAGACAGAATGAATGATCCTTGAATACCCTCTACTACTGTGTTCAGACTCATTAATAAGCCTGTCTCCTTTGGGAAAACAATTGCTGTTAAAGGAGACACAGAAACAGTAGCCATTGCACTGCATAGAGGAGATGCAGGGATAACTGTTTCAATTTCACAATCAGTAAAACCAGGCACACCAAATCATTTAAGCAGGGAGTCTAAGCTGACTATTAAATGGACACCTGACCACGCCCCTTTTCTACTAGAAACGAACTTTAAAAAAAATTGATTCTAGAAACTGATTTCTTGGTGTCTTGAAAACCATTCCCAAGTGATCTAAAAAATACAACCAAAATTGAGAACTGGGCCCTCCCTGGTGGTGCAGCAGGTTAAAGCACAGCACTAAGAAGCTAAAGCCACTTCCACATGAATTCGATACCTGTCCCAGAAGTGACCCACATGGCGCAGCAGACCTCTCCTGACCTGCCTGCTATCCACTCTGTCTCTGGTGAATCCTCTCACTGCCCCTGCACCTCTGGCCTGTACCCCAGCTCTGTATG